ATCATTCATCGGCTTATTCATTGGCTTTCCTCCTTTCCCTGTGTCATTGTTTTGCGTTAAGCCAGATATAGTGATTAATATACTTTGCATTTCCTAGCGTTCATCATTAGCCAGTATTTGATTATGGTATCGCCAGCAACAAAGTTTAGTCGTTGTAGATTTGCAGCTTAATAGTTTGTGAACAGTTGATAACGAATGCCGTTTTTTGGCTAGGGCCCTTAACAGCCATGATTCGTTCGTCTCCGCTTTCTGCGTTAATGGCCTACGTTGCGCGTTTGTTGTCATGTTCGTCTGATCCGACTGTTTCTGAATCTAGTGGATTTCTTTTTTTCGACTCATCGTTCGAAAGCAGCGTAATAAAACATTTTTTTAGGAAACAGCTCGAAACCGCCGGTTGTACAGCCAGTAAATTTGATCGGCAAAACGTTGCCGCTTAAGTTTTTTACCTCGGTTCTCTCCCTTTGGAAGCGGTAAGTTAAGTTTTGAATTTTTCAGTCACTTCTTTGTTACTTTAGTCAAAAATGGTTTTATGATATGGCACATTTCTTTACAGTTTTGCTTTCGTCGCACGTACGCCTTTGTTTCAGGAATATTATTTCCATTATTAAAATGAAGCATGCGCTTAAGTAGAAGATTTATATCATGGCTATTAGTGTAGTATCCAAAAGTTTTCAAAACTTTACAGTAACTGTTTCCATCGAAATTCGCTTAGCAGCTTGCTTCAAACAATCAATGGTATCGTGACTCTGAGACGAAATTTTTTTTAACAAAGAAAGTTTAGTTGGGTACATAAGGAAACCAGTAAGTGGGTAGGTGAGTCAACAAATAAATAAGCAAGTAAGTGGTTCGGCATAGACAATGGAAGAATGAAGAAAACTGGTAGTTAAAGAATGAAAGAATGAGTTCAGCAAGGGAATAAGTATGCTGGCAGATAAGAGGACAAAATAATAAAGTAAATATTGAATAATAGAATAAAAACTAAGTTAGGAACTAAAGAAATAAGTTTGAACTATAATAACTAAACAGGGTTGGTGAGTCGGTAACAGGTTGCCGTGAAAGCAGCAACTTATTGAACGGCCAGACATGCTGAGAACAAACAGTAGAACCCAAACCTGTTGTTACTCTATTTCAACTTCGCTTATTATATTTGCACTCTTCGAAAAGGAGTTGATAGAGAAATAATGTAGTAGTCGAGCTGCGTCTAGCTTTCCGTAAAAGCAAGAAATAGCGGAATGATTAAACATGTTCTTTCTGCAATGCAGAATTAGCCAGAATA